ATTTCTGGCCCCACCCCGGAGCCCACACCTCCCGTTAGAGCTTTCACCCTCTCCCGCACCCCAACCCCCAGCTCCAGCCCAGTGAAAGCGAGTGAGGGTGGGGGAGAGTGAGGTACGGAGGGAGGGGGAACTGTAGTGAGCAGGAGCCAGGGACTCGGGGAAACGGCGGGGCAGGGCCTTGGGGAAGGGGCGGGACTATGGTGTTCAGTTTTGTGGGATTAGAAAGTTGGCAACCATAACTCTGCCCTCTGCTCTGCCCCCATCCCAGCTTTGCCTTCATTCCCTTTCTGCCCCCAGGCCAGCTCTGCCTCTAGCCCCAGCTCCTCCCCCATCCCCAGTACTGCTCCCAGCTCTGCCATCACCCCAAGCTCCTCTGCTGAGTCAACTGTGCTGTAATGGAGGGAGGAGCGCAGACAGATTCTATTATTGGTAAGAGGGGAGCGTGACAGGAAAGTTTAGGCATCCCTGGTTAGCGTGTACTGACAGCTGGAAGCTTTGCTGAGATTTAATGTAGATCTTAGCAAACTGCCACTTAAAAGCAAACATTAAATTATTTTAGTAGCTTTTAACTTTTTATTTATTTAGAGCTTTCACTTGTTTGTGATACCCTCCGTACCCTCTCAGAAGTTTGAAAATACTTTCCCTTTCGAGAGTGTTGGTGGTCATCTAATCGGTGTGTGATGGGGGCTGTGGGCAGGGTAGCCACTGATGCATCCCACAATACTGGACACTCCAGTACTTCTGGGAACAGCGTGGGCCTATCCTCGCCTGCATGGCCGCACCCCTGCTGGCATGAGCTTACACCACATAGTGCGCGTAAGGTCATGCCACATGGAGGATGCTATTTTGAAGAGAGTGTCACCCCCCACCCCGCTGGTGTGACCTCGCATGCCTGGCACACGTAAGGTCACCCACTGTGGGTGAAGTGACACACTCTTGCTATTGGACAAAACCACATCCAGTTTTGTCTCAGTACTGGATGCAAAAGTCTCAAGTTTGAGTTAAGTGGGTGCTTTAAGAGCTCAAGCTGAATAACCTGGCAGGAGGAGGGGTGGTGGCTGGAGCTCATGTAATGCTGATACTCAAACTAATAATGCAGTGGTGATATACAACAATTCATCAACGACTAATCCAATCACTCTGTGTAACTCCAGAGTTGTTTTGCAGGGTGGTAGATCTCACTCAAGTTAGGCTAGCTCTAGTAATTTCAGTGTACTAACTCAAGCTAACTATTACAGTTAAGACAGGCCCTAGCCCCCTTTCTGGAAATGCTGTGTGCACCCAGAAGCAACACAAACACCTTTTT